ACTTCTTGCCGTCATATCCGAATACAAGGACATTGTGTTCAAGCCCAGAGTCACCTTAAATAATATTTTTGAAACTTGGAAAGATCTATTAAAAAGCATTTGTTGGCTCGTTACCTAGTCCTACACTCTGCAACTCCTCAGCAAACTCTTCTTCATCGGCAACAGCGAAGTAGTAGTTATCCTTCTGGTACTGAAACTCATGAATGGATAATTTCTCATGAAAACTTTGATAACATCGATACTGCCAAAAGATGATAAAAGGAGAAATCAGATATGGAAATCTCACAAACCTTTTGGGCGACGTTCAACACTTTCTGGCGCCAGTATTCACTACCTTCTCTGTATTGGATTGAGAAATCAGCGTTGTAGTAGACAACCACAAGAGGGAACTTGCCATATCGAGTAGGAATATTTTCCTAAAATCAGCAAGATTTAGTGAAAAATGAAAACAGGTAGAACTAAGAAATAAGCTTTGGCAAATAAAATTAGTTCTAAAAAAACTTGCCTTAGTTCTCTTTCCAACAAGAGGAAGGCAGAATTGCCGGATGAAGGAAACCAGCTCCTCGGAGGTAGCTGGTTCCTATAAAGAAAAAATAGAAAAATTAGAAGATGAGCTCAAAATACGATATTACATAGACAAAGAAAAACATACTCTGTTATATGTTCTGCTCTTTGGTTCAAATTTGCTTTGGAAGAGAGTTGGATAGAAAATGATAATGTCGTTCGGTTTTGCATCGTATTTTTTGAAAGCTTTAGGATCTGAGACCCAGGCCATGTGTTTGAAATCCTGAAATTATCGAGTTTAATCAAATAAAGTTTCGAACATTATTTCAAAATTTATACCTCACGAAGCATCTCTGCAGTATCAGAAAATGGCTCATAGGCTGAAGACGATTCACTTTCAAAGAAGCCAATGATTGTCACGTCTTCTTTGGCCATGAATCTGAAAGCAAATTCCAAATTTGGAAAAAAGGCATTAAATTCATAGTCATAACTTTCATCATTTTTCAACAAGAAAACATCACTGATAAGAAAAAAAAGCCAGAAACTCACCTCTCTACCTCTCCAACACTGCCAAGTGTTTTCAGCGCTGGCACAGCTTGATCATTCATGAATTTCACAATTCCGTAAGCTTCACGTGGCCCAATGTATTCAAACCTAAACATTATATGTAGTAGTGGCACAGCGAAAAATTGACTATTCTCCTACAAACCTTCTTCCGTTTCGCATAACTTTCAGTGTTGGGAATCCATTGACTCCATACTTTTCTGCGAGATCTTTCTCTACCGTAGCATCTACCTTCGCTAGCTTGATGGGGCTGCCTTGGGCCTTAAACATAAGTGAGGAAAATTTTGCATGCGTCGAGAAGTTTAAGTGGAAGCGCAATAAAATGAAATGAAAATAATTCATTGTTTGAAAAATCCAAAATTCAAAAAGCGTGTGGTGTTGCGCTCATATTAATCTCTACATTTGACAAACAAGCTATTCACGCAAGTATAAGAACTCAGATATCCTTCTTCTTAAACTTCTCGAACTCAGATAGTGAGAAACAAAATGGAAGAGATAAAAAGACTAGATCGGCTGTGGAAATTCCTAAAACTCTACTGGAGAGAAGGTTAATTAGATGACAGTAATTTTATACTATTTCTCGCGTACGCTGATCAGTGTTTACTGTTTACATTCGACAAAAAATCAAACTGCAGTCAAAAGCGGCCGAGTAGA